CTTAATACCTACCTCTACAGCTGAAAGTAGCCTTCCATGGTAACTTTTTATCACATTAAAAAAGTTATTCTTGAAATCATACACACCGAAGTAAAGATTTCCATCTGATTAGTGAAGCAATCTTATTACTAAAGTGGGTTGCAATAAACAAACACTTTATATTGGTGTCTCAAACTTCCAGTGTCACACCTACTTCTACAACTTACCAAAGATACTTTGCTCTACTACTTACCCAAGAAATGCAAGCAACTGCCCTGCCACAACTGTCCCACGTATCTTTGACAGTTTTGGTAATAGCAGGTAATTCTGACTTTGGAATGTTCTGTAGTGCTTGAATTCTGTACAAGTTTTAACACGAAACGTTTATGAGTTAATAATTTTGCCATAATATATATACACACACAAAGTTAATTAATCCTATTTGGAAAAAAATAGTTTAAGAATTGTATACACACACACACAAAACAATGAAGTTTCATGATGTTTTCCTAAGGAAAAGTAATAAAGCGCATCAACAGTAGATAACTGACCTGAATCTGCAGAGCATATTGATAAGTAATGGGTGAAGAGAACATTCCTTATAGCAGAAAAGCTAGGAGAGATCTCTGGAGTAGTTTAGGGTAGTTCTGACACCAGATTTTTTATTTTTTAAGGGGATGACTTGGAACTTTTCCTTAAGGGAGAGTTTTTTTTTTTTCAGGGGAGATGCTTTATGGTCACCACTGAATAAAACCCAACTTCCATAGCAGGCAAATTGATAGAAACTATCATAAATTAAGAATTAGTAGATACAAATAAGCAAAATATTGGGGAAGAGTTAACAAGTCTTTCATTGAGAAAAACTGTCTCACAAATCTACATTTTTGAGGAGTCTAATTTGATGGACAGACAATATCCAGATTACTGTGATGCTAGCCTTCCCTAAAATTTCTGACAAGATCCCTCAAAGACTCTTAAAAAACCACCAAACCTAACCATCAGAGGTAAAGGAAGCTACAATTGATTGACAGCTAGCAAAAAAGTAGGAATCATCTCAAACATGTGCTGCTGAATAATTTTATAAATTACGTTACAAAAAGGGTGATAAAATTTGCTACTGATACAAAACTGTCAGATAAGTAAAAACCAAAAATGTACTCCACAGGGTTATATGAAAGATCTACAGTAGTAACTGACTGAGCAACACAATGCACCATAAAGAATGGATAAATGTGTCCTCAGGTAAACAAAAATCTAAGTATTATTTGTACTGCACCGCCCCCAGTGCATGTGCTGGGTGTTACTCCATTTGCATGTTACCCCATTCTTGGTTAATTGTTGGTGCCTCACTCTGAAAAGCACATGTATGTTTCCCCCCCCTCCCCCGAGTCCATAAACTGCTAGATATCGTGTAGAAACCTCACACAGCAGAAGGGGAAATGAAGTGCACGGTTCAGTTGATCTCGGAGCATGAAGGTTATGACAAACAGCCCACTCCCACTACAGCCATCCTGCTTTAGCTATTTCCCTCTCTTGGTCTGTCCTGTCCCTCCTTTCTTCTTTCCACCACCCGAGGAAAGCAGGTAGTTCATGTTTTCCCACTCCCAGCCCGGAAAAGTGCTGAGGAAATTGATTTTACGCTTTCAACAGCTGAGATTATGGATTGTAAGTGACCTAGCCTCTTATTGTGCGAAAACAGTATTTTAGTATTTCTGACTTGTCATTAATCAATACACTACTAGCAAATTATTCTTGAAATTAAGCTGTTGCAAGTCACATGGCTGATGTAAAACCATCTGGAGGAGAGGCAGAGGGGCCTAAAATACAATGAGATGTGAAGCAGAAGGAGCCATGCAACCTCCTGAATACAGAAAGTAACAGTAATACTGGCTACATAAAGAGAAACGTTTAGAGGAGCTCTGACAAGATTTGGAAATGTATGGAAAATATAAAATGCAATAAAAAAAGATAACAACCCTGAAAATTCCTCAAGTCCTCCCCACTTTCAGGGAAACAGCACACAGCTTGTGTCCCATCACATTTCCATGCAGGAGCTGACAGTGCCTGGACATTTCTGAATCAGCAAGTCTAACATGAAGATATTTTTTCAGGGGTCAATTTTCCCATTGATGCAAGGAGGATTTACACATGCAAGTCCCATTAACATTAATAGAAGTTACCTACATAAATCCCCTTGCAATGATAGGAGAAAAGACCCCATAGTCTGCAAGGATCTAAGTTCTAATGATTACCTGTCAAATGGCCCTAAGCATCATCACCACCAGAAAAAGCAGACGTAGCAGCTTCATGGCTGAAAATACTGGCAAAGGAACAGTAACTAATTGCAGTCATACAGATAAGGCAATACAACAGCACCAGGGAAAATGGCATAGAATTGACTGTTTGACTATTAAGAGTTAATCCAATTAACCAAGTTAAAAAGAAAGTACTCATTAAAAAAGGAATTCAAACATATCAAAGCACTCCTTAGGAAAAAAAAGGTGTGAATATTGTATGAGCTCCAAGGTGCTTGAAGGATAATACAGCTACTTGTTTAAAAATTCAATTAACCTTATCTTTCTTTAACTTGATTTATTAATAATCCTACAGATAAATTGCCAGTTTTTAAAAAGTCATGTTATCTTTTGAATACATCCTGTATGACAAGCCTGAAAAACTACCTCAAATACGCCTAACCCTCACTTTGTACGCTTAAATCATTTAAAGCAAGAACAAAACGCAGTTCAGTGTATGATTTCTGTGAAATGCAAAGATCAAGTCTCACCTACTGCTATTGCAAGTGAGCTATTGGGTACTCAAGTACCATAGGAAAAACATTTTATGCTTCCATTCGCCATACCGACGAGACATGAAAACAGTTTTTAAGCAATCAATGTAGTGTAAAGTCATAGCCTACAACTTGTAGATTATTCTGCCTCACCTGAAATCAAACCTGCAGTGTTTCCAAACTTTGCTTCCCAGGGACACGAAGCACTAAGATGCTACTTTACACAAACTGGGTAACTTGTATAAACATACTGCCACACACACAAACTTTGATATTATTACAGATGTCAACATGATGAAAGGAGACAACAGAATTATCAGGAAATCTCAGCTAACAAATGAACTGCTTTTCTCGCGTAATTGAAAGAAAACACAGAAAAGTGCACTTGCAAGCAAACCTTTAATTTTCATCAAACGATTTCCTTGTAAACATAGAAGATGAAAAATTCAACTATGATCCCTATTACTGAAAGACAAACAGGGACTAGGTCCTCCACTTAGTTCTTTTACAGCTCTTTAGATGTTAAATACAATGACCATATACTCATGCTTTCCAATACACATAAAAATTCCAGCTAAATGAAGAGGCAGTCTGCTTATTACTATACAGAGTAAATGCTCAATCACAAGCATCCAAAGATAACTGTTGTTTAACACTGGAAACATTTCAACCACGTATTTTTGAGGACTTTGGTATCATACACGCTAGGGTACCTATCCAATAAACAAAGAGCATCAACACTAACAAACCAGTTTTGAAATGCAAATTGGACAATGAATTATGCTGCAAGACAAAGTGAAGTTAAATCCATCAGTGATGCTGTAAAAAAATAAATAAATTAACCTTTATGGCATGAAGCCGTTTTGAAGGCAGGCACGCGCACTGCGAAACTGTACAAAAGCCTGCAAGTGTCAAGTTCAGGCAGTGCTGAATAGTCATTAGTCAGTGGCATTTTTTATTTACATACAGTATTTGAGCACCGCTCGAACTATAACGAAGTTTGTGTAGAAGTTTAAACCCCGACTCGTCAAAATTCACTCCTTTCTAGATTTAGATAAACTACTGATCTGTTGGGTGCACATTTTAAGGTACATCTTTCAGTAACTGCTAAATATTTTTCATCACCTGGGTATCTACTTTCAAGCATTGGTCAGAAGAAGTGCAAGTTTATCCTGGTCATTTACAACAGCTTTCTCATTTTGTAATTTTTCATACAAACTAGACTTATAAATCCCTCAATAACTTTTATCCTATAAATACTTTATGATTTATCATTACAAAATACGTAATTTACATCTATCACACTAATTCTAATCCTATTAACTGGGATCAATACAAACCTTTGGAATTATCAGTTGAACCTTCTCCCCTCCACAAAAACCCCTCCATGAACAATCATTTAAACTTCTCAGGCAGCATACTTCAAACAAATAACTACTGGCTTATTTAAGGCCCAAAACACTGCAACAAATCCAAGCAAACTGAGTGGATATGCTCCATTTATAATTTTTAATTTTGTTGGCAAGTCTAGCATTAAACATGTAAACAGTTTTTGTAACTGCAGTATATCAGATCACTAGTGAAAACATGTGACTGCGCAACGGCCAGATCTTATTTAAGGATTTTCTGAATGTAAAACAGTTTCATCTGAGGAACATCTATTGGATTATATTTGCTTCTAAATTACAGCAATAATTTCAAAACCATACAAGAAATTTTTCATTATTAATTAAGGAAGCATGGTATCTATTACATATTCTAAAGCCACTCTGGAACTGCCAGTTGTTATTGCCTTTAAGTTCCATTCATAAAACCACTTTGAAAGACAGATTGTGAAACTCACTTTCAGTTGTTTAATTAGCACAGACAAAATGATTTTTAGAAGCACTGTGATGCATTGTAACAGAAGATCATCTTCTGGCTGGTAAGCAAACTTGCACATTTTTAATTTTGAGTAGGTTTGACTTGTTGCCTGTTTGAAAGATGGATGATTCCTTCCAAGATGTAAACCAAAAGCAAATTCTCTCAACAAATCATGAATCCTATTTCAGTGTTTTAAATTCAGATGCTTTGTTCTGTGTTTTTTGTTTAGCTACAAACACCCCTGGATCTGGTGGACCTATGACTATTTAGAAAGGTCTCAGCTATCAATGAAACTGCTTGATGAAGAAAGATTATTCAAGCTCAGGGAAGTAAGGCAATTGCAAATAATACAGCTATGGGTTATTTAAACCTCTTTTTTCTTACCCTTCCTCCCTTACATTTTAGTTTGGGTCAACCTCCTCTTCTACTAAGAGAATAGTGCTAATTCATTCTTCATTTTCTTCTTTCTTAGCAGCAGTACTACCTCCACTACTGCTTTCTTCAGTTGAGGATTCAGGTTTTGTCTCTGGTGAATTACTGAATCCAGACTCTTCTGTTGCAATCTCATCTTCATCATAAATAATATCTTCTGGATTTGGTGGTGGTGGACAAAATTCCTCTGTAGGAAACATTTCTTGGAAAATAGTCTCAGCCTATTCAGAAAAAAAGGATAAAATAAACTTTACCTTGAAATGTAATACCTTGCAGCAATATTTTACAGATATTTAAGATTAACCTCTGTTCTTTCAAATCAACAGTGATTTAATACTCTGACAGTACTGTAAACACATGGGAAATGCATTCCTTCTTGCAGTCCTCAAAAAGGAAAAAGTAATCTCTCTTTTTACATTGTTCTACTACGAAAGGCACAGCATAGGGCTTGTTAAAAAATGCTGGTCCTTCTACACTGTACTGAGAACAACAAAGATAATTTTCTGCAAGCAAAATGATCTTTTCCGCTATAAAAATATCCCTAGCTGCAGTGAAATGCAAAGCATGGGAAAGATCTTGCCACTTTCCAGAAAGAAGATTCCATTTGATGTAACAAGGTAAACCAGGAAATTGTTAATATGTACAGTTTACACCACATCTATATGGGTTTCCTTCTTAAATTTAAAAATTCCAAAAAATAAAATCCATTTCTGTTTTTACAAACACCTTATGTTGTCATCCAATGGATTATCATCACTGAAAATACAGGTGTATTTGCATACAATACTTTTAGAATTTATTAAAAAACCCTTATCATTTCAGTGTATGATGTGTGTACACCTATGTGCACAAATGTGCCTTTCTGAAAAAAAAAAGAAGTGCAAGCAACTTTTCTTTAGATAAAAGGACAGTAACTCTTAAGACAGAGCTCAAGGATTTAATTTACAATGCCACTTACTCTTCATGCCACCACGGTTTAGAATTAAGTACACATAAAAAGTCAAGTGTTTTGACCACTGTAATGAAAGATGTTAAAAAGAAACACATTCTTGACAACATCAGGGTAGCTGTTATTACAGCATACAGAATACAACTACAAAATCTGGGAGAAGAACCATCAAAATAATACAATCTAGAATTCTTGAGATTCAAGTATTTTATAAAAACAAAGGAAGCTAAAAATCCTTTAAAAAAACCTCAGAAGAATGCAAGGAGCTTTGTTAATTAATGTTAAGCAGTTTACATGTTCTTGTGCAAATAACCTATCTATAAGCTTATCTTAAAAATAAAAAAACCCTGAAAGTTAGAGACACCCAGAAATGTTTTTACTGAATCAACATGCATTTCACATTTCCATAAAGTTTTCTTGTCCGAGTCCTTAAGCTTCAAAGACAAATGGAGAAAACTGATGCAGAACACAGTTGTGTTTTGGGTTTCTTAAAAGGCAAAGGAATATTGTCTCTATTTTGCCTCTTCAGTGAAGCATGCCCTGAAGACGACCTGTGATGAGAGCTCCCACATAGGGAAGAATGCATTTCATCTTTATATTCATAGTGCTACCAGACACGGCACTGAAAAAGCGGACAGGAGGGTCAGTTCATGCCAACTGCAAAGGCTGATTACATGATGTGGATTCGTGGACAAGAGGGAATTGTTTTCAGATTAATACATCATTGAGCATGTATCTAACAGGTTTCTGTGATAAACTTCGCTGCCCACCAGCAGTGGATTTGTATCACCAGCACGTGAATGTAGGACTCTATTATTAACTGCTTAAATGACCCTGTCTACTCTCAGTTCAATTTAATTTTTCATTCTGCTTCCTGATTTTCACTCTTCCATACCCATTTAAAACCACTTATTTATATTAGTATATTAAAAAAAAAAATTCTACTCTCTATTTCAGAAACATGGTTTTATAATTTGAAAACCTTGCCTGGTAAGTCTAGGGGCAAGGGAGTAAAAATATACTACAAGAAGTTTACAAAACTAAGTTTCTGAAGCTAAGAGAAAGACTTTTCATTTCAAGTCTGTACTTGCCCTTAAAACTCCAAAAATATATTTAAACTACTATTGTAATTAATAGAATATTGAAGAAACATGTTGTATTTTGTACTAAGTACATGACAAACTAGAGCAGTCAAACATTTCCTATGCAGTTCTCAACAACTATTCAGTCTCCAATCAGTCAGCAAATATGCACTCCAAAGATGGTCAAATAATTATGAGATTGAGCATGGAAAGAAATTCTCAGTACGTTACGCAGGGCGTCATGACATCGATTATCACTGAACAATTTAATGGCATAGAATGCTTTCAGGTCTAACAATTTTTTAAGTTAACCTTATCCAGCTGAAGTCATGCAGGATAACCAATAATAATTTAACAGCTCCTTTGTTGGAACAATTTGATACTTACCGTAACTAATTCAGTTGGTAAACAGTTCCTTCAGTATGTAGTAGTTACGTGCACCAGCTTTCAAGTGTGCACTTTTGAGCTGAGCATTAAGACATAGGCATGTAAAGCACCTGCACACATATTCTTATTTAATAACTTACTGCTTGAAGTGGAGTAAAATGTTATTTTCTTACTGTTTTACTGTATCCCAAGTGCTCATGCTGATGACAAGCTGGATGGGCTTTCATAGCAACTTTAAAAGAGAAAACTACCAAACTCCTAGTAGTTTGAAATACAACACACTTGAGTAACTCTTACAGTCTTCCAGATAAAAAATAACATGGTTAAAGGGCAAATATTGGCATGACAATTTGAGTGCTTCCTCTCATGAACATGAAGATGTCTTAGAAATCTGAAATACTTCATGTCCACTGCTTTTGACCACAGTAATTCATGTAAGGCTGTAGCAGCAAAAACCATAGAAAACTGGAAGGCACATGCTTTACTTTATCCATACATACAGAATTTGAAGGAACCGTAACTGGTACTTTGTATTTTATTTAGCCTATCCTCCAGGTAAGTAAATGCAGGCATCCAATTAATTCATTATTACACTAGGAATTCAACATTAAATTAAATAAACCAAGAATGAAATCATCTGTATACTGAGCTGTAGATGGATAATGGTCTTTAAAATCTGTGGTGTCTTGACTTTTACATCAGCTATCATCAATACAATCAAACAGCATGACACCTAGAAGTTAGTAATACTAATGGCAATGAAAACAAATCATGGGAAGTATCATTAAATCAGTAAACATAGAATTAATTAGAGAAATTAGATTTAATTTTCCAAGCTATCTCCAAGACTAATACACACAGCAGTTTTTTGCTTGTTTTCTAAAGTGTTCAGATCCATGAGTTTCTACATATCTCACGTTCGGAGATTTCCATCCCATTGCTAGGAAGATGAAAGTGATCTGGGAGAAGCAGGCACCCCAACTTAACGTATTTCCCTCCTCCACTTGTCTAGAAGGTACCTGCATGATAGATGGGAAGGGTGTATTCTAACTGCGAGTTCTGCTTTATTTTCAGCCTATTCTTCACTTTGTTCTCACATACACTCCTCACTACTTTTTGCCATTATGGATTTTGATTACAAACATGTTTACGCTAAAATATTTTTCATTCTAACTAGTGACCTTTTGTTTCAAAACAGGTTCAGCTTCTATCTACTCTTTCTGAAAGGCAGTGTTTTAGGCTCTTGATTGTTTCTCCTCCGAGATCTACTTGTTTAACATCTATCTCGCTGACGGTCAACAGACTTAACACAAAGACTAACTACAACACCTAGAATATTTAAACACAGCTTGATCTACAATACCATTAGTCACTGATAAGAAAAAGAGCTCTTAAGGTAAGACAAAGCTGAATTCTAGAAAAGGTGGCTATCAGAATTAGGAACTGGCTGTTTTAAAGTGTATTTAAACAGCTTTTAATGGGTTTAAATATGTTAACTGTTTTAAATAAGTTTAAAAAAATCTCATTTAGCAAGGAACTCATTTACAATTTAAAACTGCTACCATAATAATTGTCTTGCATTATCTTTTGTCTTTACAATTCTTTATCCTCTTGGGAGGGAAATTATTGTCTTGTAAAGCAAAATAAGGGGTACTATTAGCCTTTAATTATATTGTTCTGACCCTACAGTTAGGCTAAGTCAGCCTTTCCATTTGAAAAACTTATTTTAAGAGGTTTATGACTTACTCATAAAAAACTCCTGCAACTGGCTAGAAGATGGTATGCACACTCTCTGAACGTGGCCATTAAAAAACCACAGCTTTGAAAACGACCAGCGCCAGTTAATCCTACCAAGACATAAAAGTGTTCTCACATTAGCTCTGCGAGCACCCTGACATCACAGTGACTGCTGGGGTAGATTTGCCTACGCAGTTGTATCTTCCCTATCAAGGTGGATCTCTGAATGGAAGAGCAAAGGAGAAGCATTCCCGTAGTTGCCTTTTGTTGAACAAGTTGTAATCTACATATTCACATGATGTTGCTGTCTTCTGCTACACTAGTGGGGAAGGCACAATGAGAGGTAGGGTATTAAGTACTTTGTGAACTTCTGTGTATTGACCCTTGAAGATCTGGTGTCCCTGCATATTCTGCCTGTTGCCAATACACAGAAGGTACCTATTTCATGACCTCTCCATCTGCCTAGTTTTGTTTAAGGAGCTTTCCCTCTTCACGTCCAATTTCAAAGCACTAGGAGTCTGTCTTAAATTGAGTACCGGTATGGTTTGCCTACTACTAGGCAAGTTGCAAGTGGTTCTCAGTTAAAGATTCTAGTTAACAGGAACACCTAAATACTGAGAACTAAAAATCAGAACTGAGTGTGCTTTGGTGCCGAATACTAGCTCAAGGTCATGAGTAGAATGACATTCCCCTCAATTCCTTAAGAAACACAGTTACACCATAATTTCTTAATAAAGTGATACTAAGGCAAAGAAAAGGTAAACTGAGACAGACAGCTTAACGTATCGGATTAGTAATTATGCTGGGCTTTTTCCCAACAGCTTTTAGCTTTGTGACTATGTCCTCCAGTTATTTAAGTACTTTGATGATCCTTCCAACCTGAACTGTATATGTACCTGAACTGTATGTATGGCTTTTCTGACCCTTTATTTGTAATGCTTCTCTACTACTCTATCTCCTCCTTAACCTTACAGGCAAAAGACTACCTATTTGGGGAGTTATTGTCTGTATTTCTGAGTTACTTAACAGTTTTTCATTTCCACAGTATTAGAGCAAGTAACCATTCTACCAAGACCATCATCTTCAGATACTGCTGCTTTCTAGATACCCTTTACCTCTTCAGATCAGCTATCTGCTACTTCTAATGTTGCTGTATCAACTGACCTTTTCTCAAGTTTCCTCCATTCTCAATCGCACTGACTTTCACTTTGCTCATTTTGTCAAGATTTTGGTATAACTAGCTGTGAAGCTTCATATCTGCATTAGTACTAATTACCCAGCATAATACAGAATAACCCAGAACAAACTGACTGCATAGGACCTGCTTAGGTCTTTAATTTTAAAGTTTTTGCAACCAAAAAAATTGATTTGCCCAACCTGTTTGACAGCACAGTCATTTCCTAAAGCAGCATCTGGTCCAGAACAGACATAAACATTTGAGGGTAAGTGGTCATATGAATTTTTGTCAATTCCTGAAGAATCTCTCATGTTGAAGTAGACTGCCCAAAGGACTCTAGGTTTTTCCAGTTCTTCATTTTCAGCCTCTGGAGGGGGGTGGGAAAAAAAAAAAGTGTTTCCAGTAATCAGTGTTCATATGCAATAAGAGAAATATGTAATCCAGCATGCTAAAAGCCAATTTATTAACATGGAATTACTGTAATAAAGTATTCTTTTTCTTTAAAAGGCCTATTAATTTTACTTTCCATTCTTTTCTGAGGTACTCTTTCATCATACTTTTCTTTTACAACCATAGGTATGTAGGACAGGACAAGGGGTAACAGCTTTAAAGTGAAAGCTGGGAGATTTATATTGGACATCAGAAAGAAATTCTTCCCAGAGAGGGTGGGGAGGCACTGGAACAGGTTACCCAGAGAAGCTGTGGATGCCCCATCCCTGGAAGTGTCCAAGGCCAGGCTGGATGAGGCTTGGAGCAACCTGGTCTAGTGGAAGGTGTCCCTGCCCATGGCAGAGGGGTTGGAACTAGATGACATTAAGGTCCCTTCCAACCCAAACCATTCTGTGATTCTGTCTAAACTCTACTTATTCTGTAGACACTATGCCACATAAGAACCCATGATCACCTAAAAGCCTACTACAAAGAGGCTTGGTCTAAATTTAAAAGCTTTCCACTTCACCATTTCTAGTCTACTCTGGATGAACTCCATGAGCATATGTCAGTCTGAATCAGTCCTCCACATTCTGTGTCAGCTTGAAGCTATTGCATTCCATATGCAAACACATTTTTGATGCATAATTTTTTCCACTCATTTAATATTTTATGTTTGTGTGGGTACTCTCAACAGACCTTTGTGTGCTTTAATCTAAGGAGACAGTAACTAAGGCTCATGGTTTAAATAAACAAAGTTTTCAAGAAAAATCCACAAGCACCCCTCAAAATTAACTGCAGATAAAGAACTACCAAACCCCAGAAGTACGGTCTTTTGAGATGTGTGATATGCAGTATGTAGAATCTCTCTGCTGTGGAAATACTGCTAAATGAAAATACATGATTAATTCATATTTATCTATGCTTACTGAGGACTTGTACTAGGCTACAATACTCATTACAAATACAAAATGATCATAAACTCTGTCTTGCTTGTTCATTGTCTGTACCCTCTTGCAGTTACTCTGCACATTAATACAACCTCTCTATGCACAGGCAGAAAAACCTCTGGGGGGATGAAGGGCACTTTTTAACTGTGCAGAATGCAATGAAGGAACACACAACAGAGATTCTTAGCTTAATAGATACTATTTGGCATATTTTCTGTCCCCTTTTTGGTATTTTACCTCCTCTAAAACAAATGAAGCTTGTAAAAGACCTTGCGAGATTTACTTCTCTCCAAGGAAGAAACTTCTAGGTAACAACAGCATTCAAAACAGTATTTTAAAGCAGTTGGATTAGAAAAAAAAGAGATAAATCTATGCTATTCCTTCAGTATCTTTTTATAACTGTCAAATACTTTGAAAAAAAAAAGGTGCTAACCATACTGAACAGTTTGAAATATAAATTAAATTCATCAGCCTGTGAAAGTCTGAGCCTTCATACAGGGCAAGATGCTCTTTAATATATTTAAAAGTTCACATTGCTCATAAAAGTTACTTCTTCCTCATTTAGGCAGGAAAATGAATGGAGTCCTCTTCTCCAGGTGACTTTGCCTCTTTGACCTGCCATGGCCCAGTGCTCACTTTATCTGGTGATTCATTTTCAATAACTCCAACAGTATTTGTTCTGACATTTTAATTAAAATACGACCACTACCTCATCCTGATGATAAAAAGGCCTATGTGTCTGTGAAAACTAGCTTTTCAGTGCCTCAGTGCACCTGAGGACCTCTATGATCACAGAGTTTCTACAGAAGAATTTCAGTCAGGTTCTAAACAATATATCATTTTGAAACTGGATCACTTTAAACATTAAGATTAATGCTAACCCCCAGATGATTAGAAGACACTAAACTGCAATCTAATCTTTTATTCACCAATTGACTCTTTGAAACACATGGAACTGTCTTGGACATTTAAGAGACATTAAATATTAAAAGTTAGAAATTAGCAGGCTTTAAATTAATAAATTTCAACACAAAAAGTTTGCAGCTCTCCAATCTAGAATTTTTTCTATTTACAAGCCCTAGTTGTGTTCCACATATTTGTTTAGTAAAGGTTCCTGTTCTACAAACTTAGTAAAAAATTTACATCTTTGGGACATCAAAATAATTGCCTTTCCTGTAAACAAAGAAGAAAACTAATACTATTTCATACCATACTTACTATTAAAAGCACTTTGTTGTCTGACAAAAACAGTAAGATATTTGCTTTTTCATTAAAAGGTAGAGAAAAGAAAAAGTAAAAATGCAAAAGGACAAAGAAAAACAAACTTGTGAAAAGCTGAACTCAACCCTTCATGAAACACTGTTCTTGGTTACAGAGCCCTGAGAGGAAAAAGAAAGACTGGCCACATAAAAGCCTGCAGTTTAGTTTTTAAACAGGAGAAAAGTCTATCTGAATTAATGAGGTTAAGAATGAAGTATAACAGCAAATATTATAAGCAAGCCAATTATAAATATTATAAAATAGATTCACATATCACTAAATTGCGTATATACAAATGTAAACACTTCCACTGACAGCTGAGTGTTGTTTTTTCCCAGAAGAGCTATGATATGAGCACATTATATTTAAAAATCCTTTGCCAGGGATAGAACACAGCAACACCTTCTATGTGCACACTACCTATTCCACAAGCATCTACCAAAAATATGATTAAATTCAAGGTCTAGAGATTAAATTTCAAAGATTTCTGTGGAACTAGCTCAAAGTATCTCAGGGACAATTTCTTTCTAGGCAATAAATGCTTTGTCAACAGCTACTTTCTTCTAGGACTGTGAAATTGTCCATCTCAAGGTCAAAGTTCAGGAAAGTAGCTGGGAAGGCTTCCTTAAATTTAGGGCCATATAGTTCATTATTGGAAACGACTGGAAATTTCTGTTCCTGCAGTGCTAAACAAATTTATGCTTCCATTGCTTACAGCAGAACTCAGAGAATTTCCAGTAAAAACAGCAAACAAGGAAGCACTTGAAGAAGACAAAAGTATGAACACCAGTGTTAGAATAAGAGAAGGCAAAAGACAACGAAGAAGCTTATAGCACTGCGCACATCTGGCACCTGGAGGAGAAAAGCAGGCCACTAACTTTTGGCTTTCGAGACCTTTAGGTTAGATTAGTTAGGGATATGCCCAAGTGAAATCACTAAAACCAAGGTTGTGTCTAAACCCAGGTTCACAAATATTTCATTTCACTACTGCACCTTTGAAAGACATACTGAAGAGCAAATATGTTTCCAGGAAAAAGAATGTATGAAAAAACTAAAAAGGTCCTAGACACTTGTATACTGAAGTTAAAACACAGCTGAAGAACACTCGGAACATGAGATCATGAAAAACAAAAAATCTGACATCTGTCTAATCAATCTCACTCTTAAAATAGATTCCTTTACTTTGAAATGCTGATATCTAATTAGCAGCTCACCATATGTTGGCTCTGATGGCAGATTCAGATGTTCAGTAACAGATACTTTAGTTACAAGGGTAAATTATTTCTTTTTTTTTAAATAATATCTTAATACTTCATTTATTCATTTTTACCTTTTTCTGTATTTAGATTGAATAACTTCTGTACAACAGGCTCCAAATCTTCCCTGGCAGTTTTAGTTGATGGGCAGGTAAAATGGACTAAATCTGTTAAAAGAACACAAACTAATTATAGTTACCAGTACAGAGATCTATAAATATCATTTACCATTTTTAAAGGCCAAGGCAGGCTTTTAGAAATCACTGCTCTTCTTGTATATCACTTCCTTTAACCCAGAGAAGTAGTGTACCATGGAAATACAGCATATATATACACCACACAAATTTTCTTAATACATGTCCTAATTATCTCTCTTCCACATACGTTGGCAAGGCAAAAGTATAATTCATTTTCAGCAGAGCAGACAGAGGTGGTGTCTATTGGTACCAGGAAAAGCAGCAGCAAGAATCTGGGTAACACACTATATTTGCCACGAATGACACTGAGAAACCCCAAGAACATTCTTACCAGCACTGACAGTCCAGTGGTTCAACAGCATACTAAACCCACAAACACCACTGCTTTCATCAGTGCTCTCCTTTCAGAGCTAAATAGGGACTGAGGGGGAATTTGGAAATTTGCCTACTCACAGTTTCAGTCTGGCTGCAGAGCAGTAAGTAGGAAGCTATCTTTCTCCACTGAAGTAAGAAGTCTGAGCAAGACTTCAGTTTCTTCTATTGTACTAAACAGTAAATAGGAGATGGAGTGAAGAGATGCGGGTTTTATGTCATAGTGCAAGTGGGCTGGCAGTGAACTGTTTCTCTTCAGCCCCAGGGAGAATGGAGAACACTGGGAAGGAACACAGTCATGTTTTGACAGACTAGAGAGACTTTAAAGACTAGCCCTGCTGAGTATGAGAGAACTATCCTGGGATGTAAGTTATGACATATGCAATCCCTTGGTACAACTTAACAAAAAAGCTCTATAACATTTTATTCATCCACCTTCTTACAGGATGAGGGAAACAAGTGTGTTGTGTTTGGGCAAGGGTGAAATTATCATAGAATCATAGAACGGTTTGGGTTGGAAAGGGACCTTAAAGATCATCTAGTTCCAACTCCCCTGCCATGGGCAGGGACACCTTCCACTAGACCAGGTTGCTATTATTAAAATTAGATTGAAATTAGGTCAGGTGGGCCAGTAAGGATTTATGGTAGTTTGCAGAACGGATTTCCAGAGGTGCTCTGTACACATCAGGAACCAATCACAGAGTACAGCAAACCGGTATTGGAAAGATATGGCATAAAAAGATTTTGGGCCACAAGAATACATTTGTGGAATGGCATAATTAATCAAAATTCACCTTACAGCATGAGCAGATCGACGTCACCTAGTCCAAGCCTGTATTTGTGAAAATTCACAATTTTGCTTGATTATTGCAGATTTGATATTTAGATTTCTTGCACAGGTACTTCTCTCAGGAAAATAAAATTGCTGAACAGATTGCTCATGGAACATACTACTCCTTTATTTGTTCTGTTTTGCAAACCAATGAACCTGCTGACTCCTTAGAAAAGATAACCTCTCGACCACTTCTCCGTTCCACTCTGCCTCTATTCAGATGCAGAGCCAGCTACTCTGCTGCTTCATCCCTGGTTTCACATCCATTCATCCAGGTATTTAAAAACCTCATCTTAAAGCTTTTTATAAAACCATCTTAATAGACTCCTTTGTTACTAAACGGTTATCTGGAAAGTTATCAGCAGAGAATCATGAAGAAGTTTAACACAACTTTGTACAAAGTTTAAACTGATTCATTTTTTCTTCATTACTGTACCCTTTTGATCAATTTCACAGCTATGCAGAGCTATGGCGTTACTTTAAATCCCTCTGACATTCCTCTCTTTTCACTGAAGTCTGGCTGTGTTTGTGTCAGTACTTACAAATACATCATACATATCTGCAGCGATTTTCTGGCTGCAGTTATGCCACAGAAAGTTTGACACAGACTCCAGGAGGACCAGAAATGTAACCCTTCACGCTCCTCCTCTTTCAGACGGCACACACAGAGATTATATTCAAACATTAATTTCTTATTTAACCAAAACCAAACCTGCTGTCTAAAAGGAATATGTACTAAAAAAAGTAAATGAAAACAGGTGAGGATAATGAGAGTCTCCCTGTAACCTTAACTAAATGTTTACAACCCCAAACACTGTAACAGAATCTATTCTTTCCTGAAAAAACCCAGCTATAAATCGCTAAACTTCACATCATTTACTTTCTATAAAATCTTTTTTATTATCTTTAAGGTTATGGCTATGACTCACAGTCATCAGTATATATTTTGATTATATTTGATTTACTCAGGTATAACTGCATTAGTTACAGTGGTTGCCAACATTTGTCTTCAAGTAATTCTTCTAGCAAGAAGAACGATGAGTTTAGTTCATGATTTCATCATTACAGCCTCAATTTTTAGGGCAAGTGAAGGAGTTTGGTTCCACTCAACTGGCAATACAGATTATGTGCCTGTCATTTATGCAGTGTGATCAAAGAGCAGATGTATTTGTATACTTACCTTAAATAATTGTTTGAAGGAGACATCCGTCAGGTTAAAATCCATTTAGAGATAATGATGTAAAAGTTTAAAAATTATGAAATATATCCCATAACTAGAACTCAGCTATACCTCAAATACAACTACATTATTTAAATGCATGAAGACAAATTTCATTAAGGAATGAAACAAAAAATAAAACAAAAACATTTTGTTGCTCATCTATTTGAAGTTCACATAACATACCAACAACGGTCATAAAGCCCTGCACAGGGAAACTACTAATGGAAATACTGGGATGTCCCTTCTAGAAAGGTGATCTCTTAGATATTTTTAGGATGAAAGAAATTAATGCAGTAGACAACAGTAAGTTCTTAAAAGAATTTTTGTAACTTTTCCACAAGTAGGTCACGATGCACTCCTTCCTCCCAGATCTCATAATGGGACATAATCCTACCTCTACCAACACTTTCAGAAGATAAAAGGCCCCCAGTTATAGTGTAGTCCAGGTATCTCAATTTACTAGTTCAGCTAAGGTACTCCTTTTCAAAAAACAAGCTAATGACAAGCTACAAGTCAGATTCACATGCTTCACATTTTTTTTAAACCTACTGATGGAAAAATTTATTATTAAGTGAAAATAAGTCTATTAACCTACCTATTAATTGTTCAGTATATGCTGATGAAGAAAAAAGGCAGAAACAGACAAGAACTCATATTCCAAAATATTCTGCTGGAAATAACCCTGCAATACAACTTGATGCTTGCATGGAAAACTTATCCTTATGAAAACAAAAATTGGTAGCATTTTTTACGGGGCCACAGAATCCTAGAGCATAGAGATTCTCCTAATTTCTAAAGGGAGTCTGAAAGGAAAAAAAAATCCCCAAAACATGCATCTGTATTAACTAAGACCTCACATCTTTTTACTTACTCTTTTGTTCAGAAATTATTTGAGAAAACACTTTGGGTGGGTTCTGGCCTTTTAATTATAGTGGTAAGAGAAATCCCTGGCAGAAAATTTTACAAGGAAAACATTTCTAAGTTAAAAAATAATCTTACTGTTTTGACTTGAAGACTGCACAATCTTAGCTAGTTACAGTGGAGACCAAACAGTCTGCTAGAGCTCTCCACTAACCTTAT